TTTGACTGCGGGTGCTATCAGGCGATCAGCTTGACCAGTTTAGCAAGTAAAGTTTATTCGAAGGTTTTGACACGTAGGATGCAAGAGAAATCGGAAAAATTTCTATGGGAGGCACAATGCGGATTTAGACCTGGAAGAGGATGCACGGATCAAATGTTTTCTCTCCGCATGATCACGGAAAAGCTTCTGGCTGCTAACCAGAAGATTTTCTGTGCTTTTGTGGATCTTGAGAAAGCATTTGATAAGGTTGTAAGGAAGAAAATGTGGGAACTGTTGCCAGGGTATGGTGTGGATGGTCGATTGCTAAGGGCTGTGCAGTCTCTTTACTGTGACTGTAAAGCCTGTGTGCGGGTAGGGCATGACCTGTCACCCATGTTTAACGTCCAAACGGGCGTAAAGCAGGGTTGTGTCATGTCTTCCTGGCTGTTCATACTGATACAGTATTCTGTATCAGTATGAACAGCCAGGATTCAGTTCTGTAAACAGCTGTCGAGATATCGACAGCTGTTTACAGAAGCTGAAAGATAGCTGTTTGGGTGTGAAATTGGGTGACATAAAAGTAAATTGTTTGCTGTATGCTGATGATGCAGTGCTTATTGCACCATCAGAGGCAGAACTGCAGGCATTAGTGACGTGTATGAAAGAGGAATGTGAAATTAAAGGTCTCCGTTTGAATGCTAATAAAACTAAGGTTCTGGTATTTGAAAGGGACGAAGAGAGAATGAAGTGTGAAATATGGGTAAATCAGGAATGTCTAGAACAGGTAAATGAAATTGTATACTTGGGGAGTGCTTTTAGCCGGGATGGAAGATGTGATTTAGATGTGGACAGGCGTGTCGCTGCCGGGAACAAAGTCAATGGTGCCCTGACTGCGTTAGTCAAAAGGCAAGGCGTAGCGAAGAGTGCACGCCTTGCAATACATAACGCAGTGTTGGTACCGACTTTGTTATATGGCAGCGAAACTTGGGTATGCCAGAAGAAGCATAAAAGTAAGTTGAATGCAGTGGAGATGCGATCTCTTCGTAAAATGTGCGGCGTTACCATGGCCGACCGAAAGCGAAACGAAGAGATTCGTAATATGGCAGGTTTGAAAGATGACCTTATCACAAAAATTGATAAGGGCGTGCTTCGGTGGTTTGGGCACGTTGAGCGAATGAGTGAAGACCGAATGGTGAAGAAAATATATAGCGCGAAAGTTAATATTAAAAGGTGTCGAGGTAGACCGAGACTAAGATTATACAATTTAAAGAAAAGTAAATATTAACTTCTATCTGAATGAATAGTACATTTTAATTTTTGGTCAGAAACCGTCGTGAGCGTGCACATACTAACTGACCAAAGTTTTATCCTAATAGCTTAATTTTAAGGGAGGGACATTTGAAAATGTTTCTAATAAAAATGATTTCTATGACTAGATGATAATTTAAAAAAAGTTTGGTTATAGTGAGGTAGATTTTCTTAATTCGTGTGTGTGTATGTCGCAGATTTATGGGAAATTCATGTTATTGATCAAACACCTAGGCTTTTGCTAAAAAACCGGAAGAAAACACAGTTATTAGTTAATCTTATCATTAACCTGGACAAAATCATGTTTTTTGATCATAAACCTGAACTTAATTAGGTTTATATGAAAATTTAAGATTAAGTTAGGTTGATTTTATCATTAAATTAAATCAGTCTAAAATTTTGATCAAAAAAATTGATTTTCTCAGGTATATAGATTCTATAAGAGCGGAAGAGGTTTTTTTTGTTTTTGCATGTTTTTTTTTGTTTTTTTTTTGTTTGAACACGCTGATTTTTGAAACTACCAGTCCGATTTAAAAAACAAATTATGTATATTATAGCCAAATTGACGGGGAATAGTATAAGCTATATTGCATTAAGCTATACTTCTCAGCTGGCTTTTAATATTGATTTTTGTTAAGCTAGTCCCAAAATGATTTATTAGCGTGCGCTGGCGTAATGTTGTTGGGTTAGTGATACGTAAATATTATGTTCTACATATATATAGATCTTTATTTTCTAAAAAAGAGTCCGCGATACCATACGCCTATTTCTTATACAAAAGCCACAATAAGGTAATTTACGACAAAATTATTGAAAACTAAAAAGTGATTTATGAGCATTATAATTATGCATGGCATATTAATCCTTACGAACAAAACATATTTCGTTACCAAGACACTTTTATACAGATAAACTTTGCTCTGTATAGCATGTTATTTGGACGCATAGTTTAAAAGATAATGAAAAATTAAAATAATTCTATGTAATGTAATGTAATTTAATGTATTTTTGATTACATCCGATTTGAGTAAAGTATAATTTTATTATTTTCACATATACGCTCAAAAACTTTTGAAAGTAATAAAATTATGGATATAGGGCGATAGTCAGAGAAACTGGAGAAGAATTCGACATTAAATTTATTAAACTACTACTAAAATGTTCTACGAGGAATCCCAGCGAATAGTCTAGCGCCACCGAGAAGGATCATCTGACGTCACGTCATGTGTGACTAACCAGTGCTGCCTGTACAGTACAAAAGTAAATTGTCCTTAAAAGAAGTATAAACATATTTTGAAATATATAAGTGGCTTAATGGTTGAGTGATCATCTTTCTACTAATTGAAACTGAATTCTACTGAACCACTAGAAAAAACCACCCGCCACAAAAAGCAATATTCATCCACTAAAATGGAAGTAGTTGTGGGAGGGGGGGGGGGGGTGAAACTCTAATTTTAGTGGAAAATTGACTACACTAGTCATGCGGCTCAGACGCGTAATATACGCGGATGAAACCGCGGGGCACAGCTAGTGATAACATAAAGTATTAATTTTATCATCTTGCGGTTCTTGATCAAAAGCCTAGGTTTTTGATCAAAAAGCTGATTGATTTTACTATAAATCTGCGACATATATATATATATATATATATATATATATATATATATATATATATATATGTATATGTATATATATATATGTATATATGTATATATATATATAATTTTTAAATTTTTACTTAATTACATAAAGCTAAAATTTTAACTATTTGGAGAAAAATAGTCTACTTGCAACTAGTCTTGCCGTTTCTTCTCTCAAAGCCTCCCGCAGTAGGGACTTGTTGAAGCGTTAGCCTTTTTTTAACATTCAAAAAGTGCTTTATAAAGACCAATAATGAATAAAAATATTTTTACTTACCGGATGAATGATATACGAATACATTTATACATGATAGAACCACGTTGCAGCTAGTTATAGCTAACTAACGAATGGGTCGGCTTGACCGGGGAAGGACCACGCTCTCACAGAATACCAGCGTAAAATTACAGCTTTACGCTGCTGTGTTTCATATGGTGAGTGTAGAGAACCGGAGACTCTTTTTACTGGAAATGAGGCATTCCATCTTAGTCTTCACGGGTGACAACGCATCTGCATTTTGATTCCTAATCGAGGATAGATGTAGATGTCTATGGGCCACAGCAACCACTTACTATCAGGTGGACTATGTGCTCGTTTGTTACCGATATCCTATTAAAAAAAAAACTGTAAACACAAAGTGAATTTCATTATTTAATGTACGGGTACTCATAATTCAAGCTACAGTTCAGTGTCATTTTAAATTGAACTACAATAATGATCTTCACTAATGGTATTTAAAAAAATACGCCACTGAAAAAAATCATCGATATACACATAAAAGCAACCGACGAGAAGTCAGTTTGTTCCGAGCACTAGTTACTGAACGCTGTATAGAAAATTCGCTATCTAAACCATCGCAATCCAATTGCAAAAAATGGCGCCGGACGAAACAAAACTACGTATATTGGAATTAAAATCGCCGGAAATTTTTTCCACCAATAACACATGCGGACTTTCCGAGCGGCTGCGGAAGCAAACGAACGCCATAAAAAAGTCGGTAACATATGTTGCAGGATAAAGTGCATTGACCACATGCATTCCCTTTGCAGGTTCTAATAATACGGCTAGTTAAGGCCCGACGTGTTTGAATTGGGTTTTTATTAAAACGAATCTGTATTTTCACGAGGTTTCTTTTGCGACGGACTAATTACATAGCCTTTTTAATCCACGATGAAATAGGCTACAATTTTACTTTTCTCACAGTTTGAAAAAGAAGCAAGTAACCAATTCGATTTAAATAAAACTAGTTTTTACGGATTTTTTAGCATATATTAATTTATTTTATATTTCCGACGTTTTGAGTACTTTTCAGCACCCATGGTCACGGGGAGGGGACTGAGGGGCTTGACGTCCAAATTTCATAGTTAACCACGGCTACCTCCAGATAAAAATTATTAATTTTTGTTCCGATCTACGCAATATGAACTTCAAGTCTTGAAGTTTATTCTGTAATGTGAAGAAAATCTTGAAGTCTTGCAGTGGTATACTTAAGTTGAGATTAAGTTTTAATAATTGTAGGATCCCAAGCAGATGGTAGTATCCAGCCATCTTCTCTATTGAAATTAGGATGTTTTTTGATTTCAATAGCCTCGCGAATCATCCTTGGAGGGAATCAGTATTCTTTAGCGAAGATTTGTGGAATATCAAATCTGATGTAGTGACGGGGGCGATCCTGTACGTGTTCACAGTCGGTTCACATTAACTATGTGTTATATAATGCGGCTTTTTTATCTTTTAGTTTGTCCTATCTGTTCAAAAATTATCGCGAATTTAGGATTTCCACGGAGTACGTATATTTGATTTTTGATTTTTTGTAGCCTTATGTTAGTACTCATGTTCCTTACTTATGCTGACAAGGTCGGCCATTTTGAATGTTTAGTTAATTTTTGACAGCTGTTTTGCTTGCATGTGTTTTGGCTCGTCTTCGATCTTTGCTTATTCCAAAAATGGATTAAAGAATCTGTATTAAATTTTGTGTAAAAAACAAAATAAAGAGCCCAGACGTATTTAGAATGTTGACTGTGACATATGGTTAAGCTACCTTGGACCAAAGCAACGTTTATCGGTGGTACAAAATGTTATCAGAGCGTGCCGGACGCCCGAGCACGTCAACAACAGACGATAACATTGATAAAGTGAAGAAAATATTATTGGCCAATCGTCGAATCACCGTAAGAGAAGTTGCTGAGGACCGAAACATATCGATTGGATCGTGCTATTCGATTGTAAGTAATTATTTGGGCATGAGTCGGGTCGCCGCGAAATTCGTGCCAAAATTGCTTAATTTCGACCAAAAACAGCATCGCGTTAACATTGCTCAGGAGATGTTGGACTCGGTCTGTGACGACCCAAATGTACTCCAGAGGATCATAACTGGTGACGAATCATGGGTTTATGGTTATGACGTGGAAACCAAAGCTCAATCATCCCAATGGAAGCTGCCGCATGAGCCAAGACCGAAAAAAGCGCGCCAAGTTCGGTGGAACGTGACGGTTTTGCTCATAGTTTTCTTCGATTGCAGGGGCGTGGTACATCATGAGTTCTTACCAAAGGGTAGTAGGGTCAATAAGAAATATTATTTGCAAGCTATACGCAATTTTCGCGAAGCAATCCACCAGAAATGCCCGGATTTGTGGAAGAACAAAAACTGGTTTTTGCACCATGATAGCGCCCCTGCTCACACATCGTTGCTTATGCGTGAATATTTATCCAAAAACAACACAGTAATGGTCTCACAGCCACCGTAATTGCCAGACCTGGCACCCTGTGACTTTTTCCTTTTCCCAAAACTAAAGAGGCCTATGAAAGGACGACGGTATGCCACGGTTGAAGAGATAAAGACGGTATCGAAGGAGGATCTGAAGAAGATCACAAAAATGATTTTTTTAAGTGCTTCGAGGATTGAAAAAACGTTGGCACAAGTGAATTATATCCGAGAAAAATAGATATTCATGAATAAATAAATACTTTTTGCAAAAATACAAAATTCGCGACACATTTTGAATTTTTTTGAATTCGTAAATTTAAGAAATCATTAGCCAATTCGATGCTTATAAGATTACTGCAGCCTATTATAAATGTGAATTGATTTTATTTGGTGATGATTTTACTTTTGTCTAAGTGGCTATCATTAGGATAGAATTGGGGCTTGTGCATCACTTACTCTCGCATCGCGCGAGCTACGTGCCGCTGAAGGCCCCAATTCTCTTCAGTAAAGGTAACACCTCTACAATTTCTTCTATTTATGGCCAGGTATTCCAACATGTGTAGAAATCAAATTCAAAAGTGTGCGAAGCTGAGCTTATGCTAATGTTTCATTATTGTTTTATTCTCATAGTGAGTGCACGTTGATCACAACGTTCGTCAAATATCTATATTGGTGAATTTAATCATTTTTAATATTCATAAATTTAGTCGCGATTAACTTTTATTTGTTTTTTTTACTTCAAACTTGTTTTGTTTTTAATTTTTTTTGTGTTTAATTGCAGATCATGGTCAACACTGAGGAAAACATTGATTCTAATCCTATCACATATCCGTATTACTATGCTCAGGATGTGAATAAATTTGTAATAAATTATTACAACCAAGAGGAACGGCTTCATGATTTAACACCAAATAGAATAGCTGTAAATGATGAGCGGCAATCGAAATCAGAGAAATGTTCCAGGAAGAGAAACCGTTCTCAAGATTCTTCATTATCATCATACATTATATAAAATCAACATTTACGAAGTTAATCAGCAAGAAAAAGATGTCATCGACGATCTTATTGCTAATATAAGTATTCAATATATTGTGGATTCAATGTACGATGAAGTGTTAGATGCAAAAAATTGTCTTATAAAAATAGGTGAAAAATTATGTGAGAACTAGTAATTTAAGTAATGTAGCTTCTAAAATATAATAAAAGTTATTATACATTGAATTTTATTTCCGTTTTATTGTGACGTATTATCATTATTTAATTGTGTAGAGCGAAAAAACCAAAATGTAATTTATTGTTCCAATGAATGTATTTATTAGAACTAAATATAAAGTTATAAACATAATATGATATAACTTAATCCATACATTTATCTCTTACTTACTTACAGTACATAGTTTTACATTCAAATTTATTTAAATACAGTTTTATACTGTCCACATGGTAAAGTATTGTAGTCATCTGCCATAATTTGTCTTTTGTCATCATCTCTATTAAGTACAAATGTATCAACTTTTTATTAAATATTTGATGATTCTTTGGTCTAACTAAACACATAGTCTTTCTAAAGTTTTCATTAAACCATAATATCTTTCTCTTTAAAGTTTTATACAGCGGTCCAGTCACATTATTTTTTATCTAAACCACAAATATTAACGCTCACATTAGGATTCGTTTCCTCGAATAATTTTACACCATTAAAACTTGGACAAAATGTCATATCTGCTATTAAAATTTCTGAGTAATGAGGGTAAGAATTCACTGTATTTTAAGAATAATTTTGTTTTGTGTATTTTTTCGAAAAATGGTGTATAATAACCAAATCTTAAAAAGATTTAATAGATGCTTTATTGTTTTTTGGTAAATTATGTGTAAGAAATAGTTCAAAATTAATTTTTAATGCCTTATCTTTTTTCAACATTTGTTTAGTTAGTTCAGATGTGTGTGAAACATCAGATAAGAAAATTTCAGGTGAAATAGTTATATTTTCAGGACTACGTAGGTCACTCAATAAGTTTTGAGATATAGAAAAAGTATTCTAGATACTATTAATATTTATTTTACATCTTTTCTATATATTCTCCATCATGCTCTATAGTCTATACAAACAAGCAACAAGCAATACTAATGGTGGAGCATTTATACCATTGAAAAAGATATTAGGATTTGCAGAAGATTATGAAAAAATTATAATTAATTTTAAACGTATTATTATGAAGCAATACGAACAAAACGAAAAATTACGAAGTCGTAGATAATATTGTAATAAATAAAATTGTTTGGCGAGTCCCACACATGAAAAATCAACATATTAAAACATTTAGAGAAAGATAGAGCTATTGTATTAGCGTTCTGTTCCTGGGAATTATAAGAGTATCCATTTCTACCGAAAACACGTAAACATACTTGGTCTACAAAAACATCATCACAAATAGAGACACCACGATTTGTTGTCATCGCCTTACAAACGTTTTTTGTTTTACCATTGTCACGTACGTGATGTAAGCCTTTTTAAATTCATCATATTATCCTTATGAGCACGCAGGAGCCCCAATTCTATCATACTGCTATCTTTCATAAATATCTGAAAATAAAAATAATTATGTCCACCAGGCCGAAATTAGTTCACCGCGGCCAGCCTCAAGAGCCATCTGTGCATGACAGGATTATATATCTGTGACGATGTAAACATGCGCACACACTTGAGCACTATAGTGCACAATTGTGCACGCAAACTCATGTGCACTCTCCATTTCTTCACTTTCGTGGTGCGTGAGACGAAAATCTGACACGACCAGAGAGAAATCAGGTGCAGGACCAACGGCTTATCATGCTTTCTGAATCACGGGGGTGGATGGACTCTAAGCTGCTACTAAGGATTTCTTGATAGAAAACCCCAATATAGCTAATTTGGACCCGCCCGGAATCCGAAACAGGGACCACATGATCAGCAGTCGCACTTACGACCACTAGACCAGCGAGGGATAATTTGTTTCTCGGAGATAGCTGTAATGATTAGCCATTAGAGCCACTAAGGTAGTAATCCTAAGATCACTTTTTGCATTTAGAAAATTATTTATTTTCCAAATTTATCTTTTTTATAAAGAATAAGGTGACAAACGAGCACACAGCCCACCTGATGTAAAGTGGATGCTGTGACCCAAAGACATCCACATCATCATCATCATCATCATTACAGACCTTCACAAGTCCACTGCTGAACATAGGCCTCCCCCAAGGAATGCCACAAAGCACGGTCCTGAGCCACCTGCATCCATTGACTTCCTGCATATCTTACCAGGTCGTCACTCCATCTAGTGGGGAGACGCCCAACACTTCGGCTGCCGGTACGAGGCTGCCACTCGAGAATCTTTATTCCCAATCGGTTGTCGGTTCTTCGAGCTATATGGCCGGCCCATTGCCACTTCAGATTACTAATCCGTTGGGCTATGTTAGTCACTCTGGTTCTACTGCGGATATCCTCATTTCTGAATTTATCACACAGAGAAACTCCGAGCATAGCCCTCTCCATAGCTCGCTGAGCAACCTTGAGCTTCCTCATCCGGCCAGCAGTGAAGGACCACGTCTCAGTTCCGTATGTCATCACTGGCAACACGCACTGGTTGCAAAGATGTGCCGTAATTTCCCGAACGCTGCCCAACCGAGTTAAATCCATCGATTGACCTCTCGGTCGAAGTTAGACTTACCTACTCGGACTATTTGTCCCAGGTAAACATACTCGTCAACAACTTCGAGCTTAGTGCTCCCAACAACTACCGGCATAGGTGTGACATGGACATTAAACATAATCTTTGTTTTGTCCATGTTCATCTTAAGACCTATCCAATTGGAAGCACTATTGATGTCATTGAACACAGTGCTTAGGTCCTCCAGCGATTCTGCCATAAGGACTATATCGTCGGCAAATCGAAGGTGAGTGATGTACTCGCCATTGATATTGATACCGCATCCTTTCCAGTCCAGCAGCTTGAAAACGTCTTCCAATGCAGCAGTGAAGAGTTTCGCGGATATAACGTCACCCTGTCTTACACCTCTCTGCAGTTGGATAGGTTTCGTACTCTGGTTCTGTACTCGGATACCCATCGTAGCCCTACTGTACAAGCACTTCAGCACTTCGATATACCGACAGTCCACTTGGCACCGCTGAAGGGACTGCAGCACCGCCCAAATTTCGACGGAATGAAAGGCTTTCTCATAGTATACATACGCTAGACATAGTGGCAAATTGTACTCCTCTGACTTTTGTACAATTTGCCGAAGGGTATGTATGTGGTCTATGGTGCTAAACCGGCTTGTTCGGGAGGCTGGAAGTCGTCTAGTCTGTGCGCGAGGCGATTCGTAATGACTCTCGAAAACAGCACGTAGACGCGGCTCAGAAGGGAAATCGGTCTGTAGTTCTTCAAGGAGCGTTGTCGCCTTTCTTGAAGAACAAGACCACCGCACTTCTGCTCCAAGCCTCCGGCGTAATGCCACCATGGAGGACGGAATTAAAGACTTCTGAAAGACTTCAAGTACCGGTTTTCCACCCGCGTTCAGAAGCTCCGCTGTAATTCCATCCTCGCCTGGGGCCTTGCCGTTTTTAAAGTGCTGGAGAGCCATTCTAATCTCGCTCAGACTGACGTCCGGGATATCATCGGAATATCGTCGGATAAGACTCGCTCTTGGATCGTTACTCACACTCGCGTGTGGCTCCAACGATGACGTGTACAGCTGCCCATAAAACCTCTCAATCTCACTCAAAATCTCAGGTGCCCCGGAAACGATGCTGCCACATTCTGTCTTCAGCTTTGACAGTTGGCTCTTTCTGGCAGACAGATCTCTGGCAAAGACTTTGGAGCCTTGGTTCCGCTTGATCGCTTCTTCAATACGAGCTGTATTGAAGTTGCGTAAGTCCCGCTGCATGCATTTGGAGATCTGTCTGTTCAGTTGCCTGTATGCTGTCAAATCTGTTGAAGAATGTAGCTTCATCTGCCGTCTAACAGCTATGAGATTAAGAGTGTGATCGGAGAGTTTTTGTGTTCTTCTGCGGCGGGTCTCGCAGAACTTAGCTCCGACCGCATGGAGAGTTTCCACGAGCTTGTCATTCATATCGACCACTTCATTGCAGTCTTCTAGGCACTGAAAACGGTTTTGTAACTCGAGCTGAAAGGTTTCGGGACTTTGGAACAGAGCACGAGGGGGACGGAGCGTTGACTTAATTAGACGAGATCTCTCCAACTTAACGTTGAGGTTCAGTGTGCCTCTAACCATTCGGTGATCGCTGCCGGTTTTCACCCTCGCGATCACGGAGACATCACTGAACAGTTGTCGTCTGGTCGTCATAATGAAGTCAATCTCATTTTTTGTTGAACTGGCGGGGCTCGACCAGGTCCATTTCCTGTGGGGCCGCTTCTGGAAGAAAGAGTTCATCATAAAGTCCCTCTTTCTCCATGAAGTCGGCCAGCTGCTGGCCCCTTGGGTTCCGTTACCCTATTCCAAATTTTCCTACTTTCAGCTGACCATTCTCTCTTGTGCCTAGTTATGCATTGAAGTCTCCCATTAACACCGTATATTGGGTTTTGGAGGAATGCATGGCTCTAGAGATATCCTCATACATTTCCTTCACTTCCTCATCGGGGTGTGCCGAGATTGGTGCGTAAACCTGTATGACCTTTATCGAATACCGTTTGGCGATTCTGAGTATAAGGTACGCAACCCTCGTCGACACACTCTCAATCTTTACAACGCTGTTAACGAGAGACTTGTGGACGATAAATCCGACACCTCCTTGGGATAGACGGTCGCCCTCACGGTAATAGAGCTAGTTGGCGGATTCGATGATTACCGTTTCCTCCCCCTCTCTTCGGACTTCAGATAATCCTATTATATGCCAGCGTAACTTGTCGATCTTTTCTTCCAGCTCCACAATCTTCTCGTCAGTCCTCAGGGTGCGTGCGTTGTATGTTGCCAGGTCGAGTCGTCGTAGGTGGCAACCGAACATCCACCGGAGAT